ATCATAACAATTACATTTGCTGAAACTAATCAGAATAGATGTCAAAATGAAACATTTTGTGTCTACCTGAGCTGCTATAGTGCCCATGGGGGTTGTAGTTTGCATCCTTCATGCCCCTATTCTTCTTAATGGGCTGGGCTCCCTGGCAGGACTACATCTTCCATGACACACTGCCATGTCCTCTCTGGTTTGAACTGCATCAGGAGCATAATTTACTGCAGTGTGTCATGGGAGATGTAGTTCTGCTGGAGAGTCCACCCAGAAAGGAGAGTGAGGGCATGAGCCACTCAAACTGCAGCACCTATGAGGCACTGTGGCAGCTCATGAGGATGCCAGTTTGTCAAACTAAGCCAAAATAAACCCTTTCAGTTTTGTTAAATGAAAAAGTTTGGTTTTGATTGAAATGTTTCATTGTTTCCAAACTGAATTTTTTGGAACTTCACATTCCATGAAAAATTTTAATATTTTGGCTTTTTGTCCCAATTTGAGATTAAAAAACAAATTTTTGAAATATTGGCATTTCTTGGGCAATGGAAATCCTGATTTTTTTCTTTTTTTAAACCAGTTCTAGAAAATATTCTTGTTCTACAGTCAGGGAGACCAAGGCACAGAGAGGTAAAGTGATTTGACTAAAGTCATACACATACCAAGCCCATGGAAGAGTCAGAAATAGAACTCAAGGTCTCCTGACTCCCAGCTGTATGTATGTTCAGTCCATTAGAGCATAGTTTTCCCCTTTAATGTTTTTACAAAAGAGAGCATGTTGAAGTATTTTGCATAAAAATACTGACACTAAACACCATTTGGTACAAAACAGAACACGGCTGGTTTTGCTTTGCTCCCTGAGCCTGTATGGGCCTCCCAGGCATTACTGCAAATCGAGAGTTTCTGCTATACCATAAAAACAGTCTTAAAATCAATCCCCAAAGGGAGAAGTCCCTCCCTGCAAATGAGTGAAGCTTGGCAGCTCTGTGCATGTTCTCTGAAGCCCCGGGTGGAGAAGAAAAGGCTCGGGTCTGGATTGGAAGGAGGTAAATGGGCTTTTGGGGAGAGGATGAGCATGGGAAGGGGCAGCTTGGGGGGGGGGGGGGGGGGTTGTAATGTGATAACAGCCCTCTGGCTTGAAGTCTCTCCAGCTCTTGGCTGCAGCATTTCCTTTCTGTTTGGGTGGAGCTACCCCTGCTCTCCCAGCAGCACCAGGAAACCACATGTTCCCTGCCCACTTAAAAAAAAAATTATTTCCATAACACACTCTCAGTAGTTAGGGATCGTAAAAAGTTCACCCTCTCTTCCCAAATGCACCAATTCTTCTGTGGCTGGCGGGCAAAAGTTGTTTGCAATTTCCTGGGGCCTTGACCTTTGTGTTTTGACCATGGCACAGGAGAGGAGAATTGCAATCGATCAAACCCTGGCTCCTCTCTGACACATAGAGGGAGGGGAAGAAGGAGGGGGAAGGGCCCCTCTTCCCCATCTAAGGCAGTGTGGGCAAAGAAGGATTTTGCTAAACACAGAAGGGCTTTGCAATTGAAGCTTTTTCAAAGGGTCAGCTTTGTCCTCAGTGTAATTACTCCATTGAAGTCAGTGTAGGGTTGCCAATTTTGTTTGGACGGATACCTGAAGAGATTAATCTTTAATTCCTGGAGACTCCAGGACAATCCTGGAGGGCTGGCAACCGTAACTCAGTGGAGTTGTTATTGCAGGGGTAAACCTGACCCTTTGTGTCAGTTGTTAGTATGAGCTTTCTCCTACCCCTAAGGAGAATGTACTGCAGTCATGGCCAGCACACCCAGCATGTGCCAGAGCACCAGCTTTTAGGCACTACTTTATATTGTTTGCATACAATGGAGACAGCTGCCTGGTTTCCCTCCTTCTCGGGGTGAAAGTAACTTAAGGGACTTACCGGTATGCAGGGCCAGGGTCCTGAGCAGGGGGAGAAAGGGGGTGCTCAACTAGAAGGGGCGGGGCCTCGGGCGGAAGGGGCAGGACCTTTAAAGAGCCAGGGGCTCTGGCCGCTGTCGGAAGCCCTGGGCCCTTTAAATCACCACCGGAGTCCTGGGGCTCCTGGCTACCGCCGCTACCCCGGGGCTTCGGTTGCGGTAGCGGCGGCCGGGAGCCCCGGGCCCTTTAAATCTCCGCCGGAGCCCCATGGTGGCGGTGGCCAGGAGCCCCGGGGCTCTGGCGGCGATTTAAAGGGCATGGGGCTCTGGCTACTGTTGGGAGCCCCGGGCTTTTTTAAATTGCCGGCCTGTGGAAGCTGCCCCCTGCCGGTTCGGTCGGCTGTGTACTGGCTCTTGCTGATACACCGGACCGGACTGACTTACTTTCACCTCTGCTCCTCCTTCACCCACTCAATCCATGATGAATGACAAAAAGAACGTTTATTCTCTCAAACCTTCCTTCCTGCACTAGCTGTAGGCGTTAGACAGGGTCACAGTTTCTTCAGCCTCCCTCCCTTGGGCCCAGGTTGGCTCCTGGCTGAGATTTTACAGATCCACAGTTATTTCCTTAGAGCCTTGATGAGCTGGAACAGGGAGGAGTGCAGTCGGACTTCTGGGTTGTCTTGTCTGTACAGCCAGAACAAGCGGTCCCCTAGGCAAGCAGAACGTTCAGTCTCAGTAGTGTGCCTCAAGCTATGAGGCCTGGACTGTTGTCTCACCATGCCTGGGGCAGCACAAACCTTAGAGCTGGAGCTAAGGGCAGCCAGCCAGTGCCAACGGGTTATACCACTGGTGGGGACTCCAAGCTACCATGCCCCAGGGAGAAGAAACAAGAGTGGAGCTGCCTCTCTTCTTCCAGTGAGGGAGACTGGACCATGATTTGCTGAGTCAGCATGGGACAGCAAGTTACTGCTTTTAATGCTTGTGCCGAAGGCCGGCCCTGCTGCCTTCCCGTTGGCAATGGAAACTATCAGAATGTGTCAGCAATGCCCTTAGGTTCCTTCCAGCAAACGCTTAGATATACCCTATTTATTGGTGGGGTCCTTGTTGTTTCAGGGCAAACCTAGAGACGCCCCAACCATGCTCCTACTTTTAAAGCCCCCTTCCCTGAAAAGATCAGTTCTGGACGAAGATCCTGTTTAGGGTAGGGCATAGGCTGAGGGGGGAATGGATGTCCATAGGAGAACTGGGCAGAACCACACTCTCCTCGGGATGCATCCATGCTCTAGACACACTGATGTTTCCAGTGCCCTTTAGCTTCTGTAGGGTTTTAGAACATTTGGCACCATGGGGCTCTGGAGTGACAGGGACTCTTCAAAATCTGTCAGCCTGGCTCCTGTTTTGGCTATTAGACTCAATAAGAGTTATGCAGGACCTGGTATCAAGTAGTTAAAGTAAAGGGTTGGAGGGCAGGAAGCAAAGAGGCAGGAGAGAGTCCTAGGGTCTAACCTGAGGTTGTGAGTCTCAATACTGATGGTTTAAACTCCAGTGTCTGCCACTCAAGATCCTTGTGCCTACACCACTGCAGCAGGGAAATGAGGTGAAAAAGAAACCAGGAACCTTGCTGGGGAAATATATCCCACCCCAACCTGCCTTCATGCTAACGTTCCCTGGAGTAATGCATCACAGAACCATAGTCACCCTTGCACAAAGTATCCCTGGGAAAATGCATCACAGCCATACCTGCATCTGAAGCAATCTTTCTTGGGAAAATACAACCCACATACACCTTAGCCAGGCTTCCCTTGGAAATGTGCATCACACTCCCACACGCATCCCTCTGATTTGAGCATCCCTGGGGAGCTACATCACACACATGGCTCCCTATGTCTGATTAGAGATTCCCTGGGGAAACTGATTCTTTCCCATGAATCTCTTAGCCAAGCAGCCACAGGTTCATAGATTTTAAAACCAGAAGGGAGCATTATGATCACCTAATCTGACCTCCAGCAGAACACAGGCCATAGATTTGCAGTGATTCTTCCATCTAGCTCAACAACTTGTGGTGGAACTAGGGTGTATTTTCTAAGACAACATCTAGTCTTCATCTTTTGTCTCTGGAAGAATGCACTACAAAAAATGTATTTCAGTTTCTTTTTAGTAATGCACCTTTCCTGAAGGGGGGAAATCTCCTAGCACAAGAATTACAATTCAGTGGATATAAGTCACTGGGAGCAGGAAAGCAACTCTCTAAATGAGGATGAAGAGTTGTTTGGAATTGTAGAAGAGAAAGCAGAGGTTGCCCAGAAAGGCCCATGTCAGACAAACTGGTCACGAAGTGAGAGAGCCCCATCATGCACGACTCTCATAAGTGATTAGGGACAGCATGGGGTTTGGGGACCAGATTTGCTGACACATTTTTGTTTATCCTACAGGTAAACCTCAAATATCTCTTAGGAATTCTCTACGGTTTGTTAAAGTTTGTTAACATCCTTCTGAAGCCATTGTTGCATAGAAGGCTGAGTGCTGACTGGATTGATTCCCTGGATCAGCTGACTAGCCCTTGAATATGGATACCAGGCCAAGTTTCTGTAATAAAGTGGGTAAAAGAAAACTACCTGTGGGTGGGAGAGACCTACATCTACAAGCATGTGAGGAGTGTAAGCATCAAGGGCTGAAAGAATTGGTTCCTGTGGAACAAGGGGGAATGACTAGGAGCAATGGGATGAAATTAAGAAAGAAAAAGTGGAGGCTGAATATCAGGAAATGCTTCCTGATGGCAAGAGCTGTTTGACTATGAAACAGTCTCCGAGGGGAAATGGTGGAAGCCCCATAGCTAATGACATTTAAAACTAGAGTGGGGAAAGCCCAAGCCAGCAGGGATAGGGACTGACTGGTCTAGCAGGTCTGTGGTTCTGTTAACTGAATGATTATAGCCTGCCAGTCGGGCGGGGCTCAGCAAAGTGGGAGGAAATCCAGCCTTTGTTAGTCTAAAAACCTGTTTTAACTTTAGGTTAAAAACCTAACAGGCATTTTTGTGTGAGATGTGCCCCTCCTCCACCTATCTGTCCCCACCCAGAGGGAAAGCTCTGGCTGGAAGGGACCAGGAGTGACTTCTTTCTCAGGCTAAGGGAGGAAAAGCCAACCAAACAGAAAAAGCATGTTTACACTGCTTAAAAACAATGGGAATTTGTGAACTGTCCCTTAAGCCAGGAATGGGGTTTGCTTGCTAGTGGAATCCAGCTGTGAGTCAGATATTTGGGTTTGGAAGAGGAGCAAGGACAAGGAGAAGGGAGAAAACTGATGGGGCAGAAATAGAGGTAAGTCTCACCTCTTTCTCTTCTGACCCTATTGCAGTTCCATCTGTGCATCAGCCCAACACATATGCTCCTGATCATTCATAAATACATGTTTTCTGGGTAAGTCACAGCCCGAGGGTATCGAGATGACTAGCCTGAAAGGCACTCTGTGCAGTTCTAACCCAGCCTTGGGTCTCCTTAAACTCCTGGCGCCACTTGGATTCCTAGAGCTTCAGAAATGCTGGATGGTGCTGGAATCTGGAAGTTGGGTTTCTCTTAAATGTGGGTCCAAGCTGCAGAGTTCAGACCTGGATCTGAACTTCCCCAGAGTTCAGAGGTGTTGATTCAGGCCTGTCTCTGATTTCTTTAGTAATATATGGAGAGTAGATTGCTTCACAGAAGGAGGCTAGCACATTCTACATTGTGCTCCTTCTGTGGGTTTTTTTTTTTTTTTTTTGGTCCCTGTCAGAATCAGCTGCCCCAAACAGATCAGGGTGCAGTCTAGAAAATAACCTACCAAAGTGTGCCTCACAGCATGGGCTGTTACCACTTTGGGAGGAGGGTGATAATGGGAGTTAGAGGAGTAGGAACTGGACTGCAGTGTTGCCATGCTCACTATTTTTATCATGCATCTTGTGATTTTGAGTTTTTTCCCTCATGCCCTGGCTGTTGGAGTCAGGGTATTGCCTGACAATCTGTCAGCCTTCATTTTAAAAATCAGGTAAGTGTCTAGCCCTCGTGGCTGTGAAGAAGAGCTCGAAACACTAGACACTCTGCCACCAAAAGACAATTAAAAAGAACCCCAAACTTTTTTTTTTAAATCTCATGATTTTTAAGCAAATCTTGATTATTATTATTATTATTTGAACCCTTGGGGGTTGGCAAATCTGGGTCTGGGTGTCAGCAGAGACTGCCCAAGGCGAGTCTTGACATCTCATCACCTACAGCATCATCCCACAAGCTGTGTAACCTGCTTTGGGACAGAGAAGACTGTACAATGGCCGCAGGCTCTAGCTTTCTCTTAGCGGATTCTTCTACTCCATGCCCACGCTCCAGATCCATTGACATTTGAACTCCCTTGCTGCCAAAATATCAGACTTTGTCCCCACCCAGTCAACACACAGTGTTTCTGTGTGTCATGCCATTCCAGTGAGTCACAGCTCCCTGGCACTGTCCTGCCCCTGCACCCCCCCCCCCCCTTCCTTCAGGTCATTGCATAATGTGACCGGGGGAAGGGGGGCGGTAGGGGAAGTATTGGACCTAGAGTGCATCTTCTCCCTGGGACCTGTGTTGGCAGCAATCAGCTTTGTGCCACATTGCCTGCTAGTCACCTATTCCCTGCTAATTCAGGGCCCCATCCAGTAGCAGGGCCCACTTTCCAAAGGATCTTCCCTTTCCAGTCCTCTCTCTTGTATTCCCCCTGTACCCCCCGGAAATCCCAGCACCATGTTGACCCACTCTCTAGCTGGCAGTGATTGGTGTCAGCTCCCCCGGGAGCCATGCAGTGCTGCTGTAGCATTGATCAGAATAAAGCTTTTGCACAAGAGATCTGCGTTTAGAACAACGCTCGCTTCAGTTCCTGCCTCCCTCACAAACCAGCTGGGATCCCAGGTCAGGAGTGCCATGCACTGACAGAACTGGGACTGGAGGAGGCTGGGACTGGCCCAGCAGGGGGTGCTGCAGGGCAGGGCTGAGGTGCACAGGGGAGTTTGGAGGAAGGAGGAAGCTGGGGGAAGGCCTGCATGCCCTCTGCCTGACTCCAGCTACTGCTATTTTTTAATGACAAGCACGAAAACTGCCTATACTCGTTGAAAAAGAGAGCGCACGCGCAAACAACTGGAAATGGCCATGATCTCAGCCCCGGATTCAAGCCACCTTCTCCACCCGCTCGCATATCTGGGCCTTCCCGCTGGCCCCCGGCGCCTTGTGCTCTGAGGGCAGATATGCAGAGAATAGCCAGGTGTTGGTGTCCCTAGAGATCAGGCTACAGAGAGCAAAGGTTCTGCTCACTTCATCTCCTCTTCCAACCCCACTCACAATTCCAGGCTGCTGCTGCCTTTGTCTGCCTTCCACCCCCTTGTTTCTTCCATAGCAGTCTGCAGACAAGGCCACGCTAGTCCCAGGAGGAGACATCCTTTACTGTGAATCTTGGAGCTGGCTGTGGCTTGGGGAGGGGACGGAGGGGGGGACACCTCATGGTCTTTCAGACGTGATTTCGTACCTCAGGGATTCTTTTGCTCCTTGCTTCTTATAAGAGACAGAAGGCCTACGACAGGGGAGCTTGTGTACCATCTGTTCAGTGGTTCCTCAGCAATCCTGTTGCTAGGATAAGACCAGCTTAAAGAGCTACGGCGAGCTATCCTGGCAACTAGAGATGCTCTCAGGCCCCACAGAGAGCTGTCAGAGCAACTGGAATAATAGGGCTAGCTGTTCTGTATGGCTCGTCCATCTTGGGGGTTGTACGTGACTCTTCAGCCCCTTGGCACTCAGCATGAGATTAGACCTTGAAGGTATCTCAGGTGCAGAACTAAATCTCACCTATCCAGGGACTAGGGCACGTGTAATTTGGGCAGGAGGGAGGGTGGGGATTTCCACAACTGGAGAAAAGTGGGGAACGTTTTTGTGGTGAATTGATTTAGAAAAAGAAAATGGTGGCTGTTCGAAGCTGCCCAGCACCTTGGGATGTTAGGCATAGGCCGAGATCCTCAAAGGGATTCAGGCACCTAAATCCCATTTAAATCAATGAGTGCTAGATGCCTAAATCACTTTGAGGATCTCGGCCTCACTCTAAGGGGAGGTGGGTTAATGGGTAGAGTGCAGGTGAGGCAATTGTATGGTGTGTGATAAATTGTGAACCCACTGATTATGCCATGGGCTTGTAATAGATCACATGTGGTAAATACCAGAGACAAGTGTATCATATGCCTGTAGATATTAAAGCACATGGCAATTGGTGCTGTAAGATCTGATGTTCTATCCCTCAGCTGAATAAGGCAACCTCTTTCAAAGGGAAGAGCGTCTCTGTGGTGAAAGAATCCCCCTGTGTCTGCAGCAGTCAAGGAAGAAGGTCCTCGAGGAACTATGGGGAGCAAGAAGAAGATAAGGTCAGTGCCATTCCCACAGTTTCTTACCCTTCGGGGCATAATTCTGGCCTCTGGCTAAACTGCTACTGGTTGTCAGTTGCAGCAGTTGGGAGTCAGGTGGGCCTGGTCTTCCCATCCAATTGGTAGATGGAGTATGAGATTTCCCAGGTCCTGATTTCTTTGCATTTACACAGAGCTTGGTTTTAATTCACCTGTAAGGACCTAAGAGCATTAGCAGTAGACATGCTAATCCTACTGCTTGTTGCCTGATTTTATGGGAGGTTAATAATATTGTTAGATAATATCAGTTATAGGCTCGCCAATTAATCTGATCAGAAGATGATACGGTTCTTGTCCCAGAATCAGGCTACATAGAATTTCCAGGGACCTTTGGGATGTATGTCAAGGAAACTCTCACTGAGAACAAAATGCAGCCTTAAAGCCTTTTACTGAGATAAATGGAATAGTAATCAAATAATAAATAATCAACTGATTACAAAAGCAATAATGTTCTAGCAGTTTGTGTGGTATTGTATACTATAAAAGTTTCTCAATTAATATACTCAAACCCTTCCTTGGTAACCTGGTGATAAGAGACAAAGGATTAGCCTTGCCTCTGACATGCCAAGAGAGTTCGTTGGTCCAGGTTCCTCAAGTCTTGAGGGAGAGATGAAGAACTTAGAAGAAGCTAGAGCTAAACGCTATAGAAAGACCATAGAAGCTAACGTAGAGTTTACTTAAAACAAGTAAGAACTAACAATGGCGAACTAACAAAACAAGCTGAACCTTCCCAACATGGTGGGTTGCTCCTGTTATAGGGCCTGATTCCTATGTGCCCTCCTTCCATGTCCAATCTTAACTTCCTCACCCACAAAAATGTTAGGGTCCGCACTTATTCTATAGGCTGGCATGTTCATGTGTATTAATGACATATTCGTAACCATTAGAGACCATTAGCTCATCCTCACGTCCGTTGTTTCTGTTCTAACCGATTATTTCCATGTTCTTCGTGGTGTATCTGTTAAGTCTGACAAAGGCCATGAACTTAGGTGGCCTTACCTACCAACTTGCTTTAACTTGCCCACTTATCTGTGCGAAAGATCACAAACATATATACTAACTTGTCTTAGGTTAAGCTACAGAGCCTGTAGCCATTGTAGGTACGTTACGTTACAGCTAAAATACTCGAATACAAATTGATAAACCTATTATAATAACAAATAACAAACCTATAATGTAACATGGTCAAACTCATAAGAAAAGATATATATGCACGCAAGCAGGCTAGCTCTATAGGCTATTGTGCCAGCATCTCCACCACCTCTGGGACTTCATAAGCAGCCCAGTTCTCTTTCGCAGCTTTGCTTGGGCTAGTTGTGTGAGGTTGCTGGGCCATGTTACTTCAGTGAGTATGTTGCAAGGAGGTGGGACCGTAAACCCCTGGTAAATCCAAGGCACCTCGGTGCTCATTGAGATCTGCAGTCTGTGCTGAGGTGGTTGGCTGACCACCTTCCCCTTTCTTCCTGGGAAGGAGATGTTAGCCAATCAAACTGCAGAATCAGTCCACTCACTAGCAATCTTTCCCAGACCATCCAGGGAGCTCCTCATTAGACTGAGGAAGAGCCTGGCCCGAGGTTTGGTGGATCCCTGTGTGAAATCAGTTGAATAGGGGCTCAGGTCAGCTTCTACTGCCTGGGCTGTGCACGTGCAAAGGGTTTGGTAGCTGATTTGGGTGGAGGAGGGCTTGTCACAAAAGGGTGGGGTTGCAGCTGCGGGGCCTAACTGTGCTAACTACATGGGAAATCAGGAAGCAGCCGACACACTCTTGGTTCCCATGCTCTGGGGATGGGGTCAAGAAGAGCAGCAGTCCTTAAAAGGGGCACGGCCTTGTGCAGCGTCCCTGTTGGTAGTTGCGCAGGGCTGACCTTCAGGTATCATTCATTCTTTCTGTTTGTGGTTGAGAAGTTCAAAGCTGCCAAGGAGGTTTAGCCACACAACTCCCATTGAAAGAACCTGAAGAAATCCCTTGGGCAGCTGTCAGTCTCCACTCTTTACTCTCCGCTGTGTCTGTCTAAGGTATTTACATGGGCCCGTTACCACCTCACAACACAATCTTTAACGTATTTGTCCTCCCCACACCCCAGTAAGGTAGGGAAATGCTATTAACCCCATTTTACAGATGTGGAACTGAGGCATGAAGAGACAAAGGCCCAGGTTTTTAAAGGGATTTAGGTGTTGCTGTGCTCAGCATCACAGCACCTAACTGATTTAGGAGCCTAAATCTCCTTTTCAAAAGGAATTTAGGCCCTTAGGAGGGGATTCAGGAGGGATCGGGGCAGGGCAAGCAGCTGTCATTCTACTGTTGAGAGTGCGGTGTTGACCTCTCCCTTCTCATTTCAGTGTTCCAGCAAAGTTAATCAATGGAGGTGTGGCCGGACTAGTGGGAGTGAGCTGCGTCTTCCCAATTGATTTGGCGAAAACCCGTCTTCAAAACCAGCAGGGACAAGGAGTCTATACTGGAATGTATGTGTTCTTAGAACCCCCCAGGTGGGGGCACTAGTAAGTGAACATAAAACTGTCCCTAATCCTCCCTGGCCCCCCCAACAATGGTGGGGGTGGCTGGAGCTGAAGACGTCTTCCTCAACTGTCCCTGTCGTTCATTCCTCCTCCACTGAGACACAAGAGGCTTCTGCTCCCAGCTGATTCCCCGTCGTTTTCTTTTGTCAGGGGATCCACCAGCTAGCTCAGTCATAGGGCATTACCACCGGCAACAATACATCTTTGATAAGAGTTCCTGGGCCCCAAAGTGGGTTCTACTCTGCATTTGGCTGGAGGCACAAGGATGGGCAGGAGAGGAACGAGGCATCTCTAGGATCCGGGGTGGTGAGATAAGAAAATCATGTAACCCAAATCCCTCCACAAAATACAATAAAATAAAATATAAAAATTCCTTATTAATAGACAAAGGTCAGAGAGGAACTCGGTGGGGGGCTTGCAGAATAGAGTTGTGCATGTATGACTGAGCATACGTGGCTGTCCTGTGGCTGTCTGTATCCTGGGAATGTTTGCCTCTCCCCATCCTCTCCTCTCTCAGACATGTTGCATGCTGGGAAGTATTTATCTTGAGTTTGTTCACTCATGTTCCAAGAGCCTCATCCTGATGAAACGGGCAGGGCAAGTCTGCACTGCTCTGTACAAACTGCCAGCTCTCAGCCTCCAGCAGCCCTCAGGGCCCTGCTGCCCTTCCCTGGGAAATGCTGCTTTCCTTCTCCTGTTGATAAGGGCAGAGCTGAGATGTCTTAAGCCAGTGGTTTTCAAACTTTTTTTCTCATGACCCAGTTGAAGAAAATTGTTGATGCTGGCGACCCAACGGAGCTGGGGATGAGGGGTTTGGGGTGTGGGAGGGGCTCAAGACTGGGGCAGAGAGTTGGGGTGCGGGGATGAGGGCTGGGGGGGGATGAGGGGTTCAGATGTGGGAGGGGACTCTGGGCTGGGGCAGGGGTTGGGGTGTGGGAGGGGGTCAGGGCTCTGGGCTGGGAGTGCAGGCTCTGGGATGGGGCCAGGGATGAGGGGTTTGGGGTGCAGGGAGGGGGCTCAGGGCTGGGGCAGGGGGTTGGGATGCAGGAGGGGATCAGGGTTCTGGGCTGGGGGTGCAGGCTCTGGGGTGGGACTGGGGATGAGGGATTTGGGGTGCAGGAAGAAGCTCCGGGTTTGGGGGGGGCTCAGGGGTGGGGCAGGGGATTGGGGCACGGGCTTACCTCTGGTGACTCCCGGTCAGCAGCGCAGCGGGGGTACTAAGGCAGGCTTTCCTGTCTGTCCTGGCACTGCGTACCGTGCTAGTCCCCGGAAGCAGCCAGCAGCAGGCGTGCCTCCTAGGCGGAGGCACGCAAGTGGCTCCACACAGCTCTCGCCTGCAGGCACCACCCTGCCCCCAGCTCTGAATGCGGAGCCGATGTTCTGGGCAGGGGCAGCACACGGAGCCCTGTGGCCCTCCTGCCTAGGAGCCGGACCTGCTGCTGTCTGCTTCCATGGCGCAACACGGTGTCAGAACAGGTAGCCTGCCTTAGCCGGGCAGCACTGCCTACGGGACTTTTAACAGCCCAGTTGGTGGTGCTGACCAGAGTCGCCGCGACCCAGTGCCTTCCATTCCGTGACCCAGGACTGTCTTAAGCTACCAGTGCTTCTGGGACTACAAACAAAGGAAAAGAAGGAGGCCCTACAGGCTCTGCACGCTAGACGGTGTTGGAGGGCAACAGAATTGATTAGTTAGTGAATGCTTGTAATGCACTATGAAGATGTGAAGGGCTATCCAACTTTATTACCACCCTCCCCTGGAAATTTTAAGTCCCTGCCCACTCTGCAGATCAGGGTGAATTCCATTAAATAACATTGCTTCCCTACTTAAACCCACCCCCGAAAGCAAAAACCTCTTTTCCTGACAGGCAAGAGAAGTTCTAAAGGGTCAGAACTGTAGCTACAACTGTTTTTAAATACAGTTGTTGTTAATAGAGGTTCTAGCACAATTTCTCTGACCAATGGGCAGAAGAAGGTTTTTTGTCCTTGAGAACCCTGCTAACCAAACTCTGCTATAGAGCAGTGTCACGGCCCCTGCGGGGGAGGGGGAGAGAGGGGTCACAAAAGGCAAATAAGAGGGTCACAAGGTGTTGAAAATGTTATTACAATCTAAAGAAAAGAAGATCTTGTTCCCCCACTCTCTGCACACTCTTACACTTCAAGGTCAGATATTCTCAGTCAGTCCCCCGAAACACACACACACATGAATTATCCTAGCTTCTTATTAGTTTTTACTCTTTTACAGTCAATGTAAGAGGGGCTGTGGAAAGTTTTGACTTCAAATAAGGGATCTCCAACATGAAAAGATTGAGAAACACGGAATATTTCTAGAGTATCCTCCAGCACACAGTATCTATAGCATGATTTTATTATAACATTTTACTATTGGTCAAAGTATCCCTGTCCTGTCAGAGCCATGCTAGCCATTTCTGTGTTAAATATGGTAGTAGCTAGGATAGTTCTTTTCCCAGAATGGGACTTCTGTCTCGTTTCTATCTATTCCCTCTACAGAAGGAGCTGCCAAAGGGTGGTGGGCACGTGTGTTTGCATGCACGTACTACTGCCCTGCCTGGGCCACTCTCCAACCTGCTCCAAGCGTGTGATCATGTTGCCCCCTAATGGCCTCTACCTTCAGAAACTGTGAACTCTAGCTCTAGTGCAGCTAAAAGCGTTGCTAATAGCAAACTAATGGCACAATCCTGGGGCAGCAGCAACTCACCCCATTTCTCTTTCTCTGGTTCCAGGCGGGATTGCTTGGTGAAGACTCTGCGTTCAGAGGGATTCTTCGGCATGTACCGAGGTAGTCTCTGGGGGAATGTCGGGGGCCCCTTTGCAGTGGATTGGCCCATTGTGTCAGTTACAGCCTCTCAGCAGAAGCGCATACTGCCACCTGTACGCCTCTTCTCAGGAATAGAGGCATTATTTCAGACCCAGCTGTCCCTGAGGCACACAGTCATTGCTCTCACTGAGCACTGATGACAATTACTGACAAGAGAAATACTGGCTCAAAAAAGGGAATCTTTCAGAGAAGAGCAGTGGAAATGATCAGAGGCAGGGCGATATGAGAGAGAGAGAGATTAAATGATGACCAGAAAAGACCAGTTGGATGCTCTAATTTACCTTATTAGTAGGCTTGACAGAATTTGATTTTTATTTATTATCATTTTGACAGATAATATTGATGTTCAGTTGTAAGCATTTTTAGACTTTTATTCATTGTATTTATTTTTATTTAAATTGTGAAACATTAGGGGAAGGTCATACAATAATTATTTAATAACAGTAGCTGTTGAGATTCAAGCAGTTAGTTTTATAATCATTACAACACAAATAGTCATCATCGCATGTCAAAATATATAAGTAAATATCCTTAAATCAAACTCTTAAGTTCTCAAGTAGCATTTTTCTTACTTTGCCTACCTGTACATTTCAATTATCGATGGAAATATTTTTTTGTCTGTTTGTGTGTACAGTGAAATTGAAGTTTACTGACATTTACCAATAAAAATCTAATCCTTTCAAGCCTACTTAGTAGAAACAAGAGGGTGCTTTCTGGAACTGAAAGACAAACCATTTAAAATGGATGAAAGCAAATACCCGATACCCTTCTACCTGATATGTAATTAGCCTGTGGAACTTCCTGCTGCACAATATTATTGAGACCACTATCTTAGCAAATTTATTTAAAAGGAAGACATTTATATGAATAAGAACAGCATCTACAGTTACACTAGTTAGGTTAAAAAGTTACAAAGATGTAAGGCCTCATGCTTCAGAGCATAAAGTGATCGTCAAGCGGGGTCAGAAAGGAATTTCTTCCCTTGGTGAAGCACTTCAGAATCAGGCATTTTAGAAGGTTGGCATCTTCCTATGGCATAGCCTACTACTGTCGGCAGAATGTTGGAGTGAACGGAGCATTGACCTGTTGTGATGTGCCTGTTCCTAAACTCCAGTGAAAACAAGGGCAATGGGAAGCCTTATCACTGTGTTAGCATTCCTCCATCCTAATATAATCATATAGATTATTTTGTAAGATAGAGATTCTCTCCTGTCCCAGCAGGCCCCAAGGTCCCTGTGCACTTGTAGTGGGAGTCACCAAGGGCTCTGCACACTTGTCCCAGGAGTCCCCTCCCAATGCTAAGCATTTAATTCTGAGGACTACCAGGTAGGGCTGAGTGGAGCTACTGCTGCTCCATAGGTCACAGTTTGAGTACACTGCTGTCCATCAAAGCACTGGTTCTCATATACCATTCACAATCCCTCTGCCCCGGGCTATCCTGCCCCTGTTCCTGGTTCTGCCTCCATTGCTGTCTCTTTGAAAGGCCCCTCTTCCCCTGCCCTTGGAAGCTGTGACCAGCTGAGACCTCAGACACTCGCTGCATGGAATCATTTGCACATGAGATGTCTCTCTTCCCCATTCTTACTTTGGGTAATCAATGTGGGAGGGATTTTTAATACATCATGGAATGTGACTGAATTAACCCTTTATCGCCCCTTCTGTCCTTGACCAGGGGCCGCAGTGAACCTGACACTGGTCACGCCAGAGAAGGCAATCAAGCTGGCAGCCAATGACTTTTTTCGACAGCTGCTGTCACAGGACAGGTATGGAGGAAATGTCACTGTCTAGTTTTGGCAAAAATTTCTACGTGTATGTATGTGTGTGTATGGGTGGTGGGGGGGCAGTATTTGTATGAAGCTATAGACAGACATTTAGTTTTGGGTGTGCATATGTGTATTTGTGTAATTGTGGGTGTGTTTCTATGGGGGTCTGCATAGTTATGCAGGTGTGTAGCTTTGTGTGCGGCTGAATACCTGTGGTTCTGTGTGTACAGTATGTGGGTGACTAGTATGTGTGCGTGTCCAGGATCATTATAGGTATTTTTTGTCATCCTCTGAAGTATCTGATACACAGCATTATCAGAGACTAGGTGGACCATTGATCAGTTCCTACGGATGTGTGTGGGAGTATATATCAAGCATGTGTGGGTGGGTCTTCGTATGTCTCTACAGTAGAGAGGATCATAGAAATTAGAGATGGAAAAAACTGTTAAATGATAAAAGTCCAGACTCCTGTCAAGGAAGGATATAATACCTGTATTCATAAGGGATAAAAGCAAACAGCTGATACCTTTTTAATCGAATATTAAAATTAACTTGTGGAACTCACTGCTGCAGGATGTTATTGAGACAACTATATTAGTAATTTTTTTTAAAGGATGAGACATGTATATGAATAAGAAAAGGATCTATAGTGTCTAAGAATACATTAGCTAGGATGAAAAATTATAAAATTATATTCTTTAAGACATTGAGGCAGTCATCAGCTGGGTCAGGAAAGAATTTCCTCCCTTGGCACAGCAGTGCAAAATCAGGTGTTTTAGGGGTTTTGTGCCTTCGTACAGCAAAGGTCACTATTGTAGGCAGGCTGTTGGAATAAAGACAGCATTTATGCATGGGTGCGTATGTACCTGCATACTGTGTGGGAAGCACGTGGATAAGCAAGGAGGTGTGTGCCTGTTTCTATGTGGATATGTGGCACAGCATGTCTAGTCTGTTTCCTTATAGCTCAGGATACAAGTCTAAGGACTCAATGCGGAGCTGTCGTGCTGGGGTGGCCTGGCAGCATCAAGATGCAGCATGAGAAGGCTGTGTACCCCCACCCCCCCAGATAGCTGTGTAAATCTGTGTGTCTGCCTGTCTGTCTCTCTGCTGTGCATTCCCTTTACTTCTGTGTTGTTCCCGGCAGGAAGGAGTTGACGCTGGTGAGGGAGATGCTAGCTGGCTGTGGAGCTGGGGCCTGCCAAGTGGTGGTCACCTCCCCCATGGAGATGCTGAAAATTCAACTTCAAGATGCTGGACGACTGGGTTAGGCCCTCTTTTGCATGGCGGGGGTGGGAGTGGACATCCAGATTGTTGCTTTAGGTTCTGCAGTAAATCCCTTTGTCACAAACTGCTTGAGATCCCGCAGGTATCATAGTGAGATTTGCATTCTAAAGGGACTGAGCCCTTGATGCTCAAGAACAGGCTTGGGCAGTCCCCACCACCTCGATATTTGCTGAAGGGGAGCGCACAGGGACCCCTGTCCAGCCTCTCCCAGTAAGCAGTACCACAGGCAATGACATGGGGACACTGGCTGTGAGAAGAGATCACGAATCCTGCAATCCCAGCCTCAGCCAGCAGTGATTATAATTTAAGTGTAAAGCGTAATTTGGATTTAAAAACAAAAGAAATCCCTGGGGAGGAAGGTAGAAATGCAAGACTCTTTTACCTGTTCAGCTGTCTGTGTGAATGTTCAGGATCTAATTTCTGGACTGGTACAATAGACTAGTAATTGCCTCATGCTCCCATATTGGGATCTGAGTTCAAACTCCACCTTCAGTGTTTTACTGTCAGGCTGGTTGTTGGTGAGTACATAGAGGTTACGCTCTCCATTCCTTGGGGTGGGTTGTGGGGGGTGGGGAAGAAGTGGTTGGTTCTGATGCTCTCAGGACTGCTAGAGTGATTTGGACTGGGAAGCCCTAGTTGGTGACACAGAGAGTGACAGGATGGTGGTTAGAGCTGGGTGACATTTTTTCAGCATTTTTCAGGATATTGAAACTATTTGCGAATTCGGGTTGAATGTGGCAAATAGTTTTGGCTGGAAAAAAAACCATTTATTTTTGTAGAAATGTTTTGTTTTGACATTTTTGAAACAGTTTCCACATTTCATTGCAAAATGGTATTTTTGAAACAAAATGTTTTGAATCGACCCGAATGAATTTTTCTTTTTCTTTTTCATGTTGACAAGAAAAAACGAAAACAATGACTTTTCTTTTTGAAACTAACCAAATTGTTTTGGATTTTTTCAGGTCAGCCATTAACCTGCAAAATCAATTATTCTCTCAGCACTAGTTGTTCTCACCTTCTGGGCAGGAGTGATCTTTTGTTGGGGAAAGGATCTAGGGGCAGGTCACTCGGAAGCCAGGCAGTGACTACGGGGGAGGGGCGGTTGCTTAGCAAAGAATGAGGGATCCTCTCTCCCTCCAAATACCCAATTCCTCTTTCTTGTTTGTTTTCAGCTATTCATCAGCAAAAGGTTTTGGGAACAGATGGACCACCGGCTCCCTTCTCCCAGCCCCCTCAGGACAGGCCTTACACCACCGGCACAGCCTCAGCATTCAAGCGCCCCTCGGCCACTGTGATCGCCAGAGATCTTCTGAAAACCCAAGGGCTAGTGGGACTGTACAAGGGACTGGGAGTCACCCTGCTCAGGTGAGAAGGGGGGGGAGACACAGGGAGTGATGAGTCAGTATGGGAAACCAGTCCCACCCTACTCCAAGGAGGAAGGGTGGGGAACCTCCTGCAGACCAGGGGCTTGTAATCGGTCCCTCCCTCCTTACTGCATGGTTTTACCATCTGTTCCTGAAGGACTTGCCCCAGCCACCTGGCAAACAGGAGGGGAAAGCTGTATCAGCAGTGTGGTCTAGTGGATAAGGCATTGTACGGGGACTCAGAAGACCTGTTTCTATTCCCGACTCTGCCACTGGCCTGCTGGGTGAGCTTGGGCAAGTCACATCAACACACTTTTCCTGTCTGTAAAAGGAGGAGGATGACACTGATCTCATTTGTGAAATGCTTTGAGATCTACTGATGAAAAGTGCAACATACGAGCTGGATGGTATTAATTATTATATCTGTATTAAGGAAATTCTTCTCTGTCAAATCAATCACCGTATCTAGTTGTCTTTTTCCTTTCCCCCTTCTATTACTGCAAATTACGGGTTGACAGTCTCCACAGAACAAGTCCATTTTACCCTCCTAGCTGCCATTAAAGCAGTGACCCAAGAAGTGCTAACCAGAACTGGGATGATGGGGCGCCATGCAGCTCGAGAGGCCGTTCATGCAACTCCCACTGGCTTCAGTAGCATCTCAGAGGGTCACAGTATAAGACCAGAGCTGGCTGGAAAATGGAACTTCCTGCCTGCAAAAAATTGCAAGTTGTCAAACGTTTTTCATCCTGAATCGAGACAAAAAGTCAAAACCTTGAAATTTCTTGTGGGAAGAAAATTCCAAAATATTTCATTTCGGAAGCATCAAAACGTTCCTGCAGCGAGAACATTTCTGTGTTCCCAAAACAAAATATGCTTCCTGAATCCCCAGCTCCTCTGGCTGCCTGCCTGGCTCCCCAGAGACGGGAGGGAAGCCTGGGGAGACAGCTGCTTGCAGGACTTGCGAGCCGGGCAGCCCACATACCCACTAGGTGGGCTACCAGCTGAATGAACCAGGGATCTCTGGGAGGCAAGCAGGCAGGCAGCCCAAGAGCTGGAGAGCCCCAGCATCCCGCCAGGCCCTGGGAACCCTGACTCCTTGGTAGTGCACTAGGTTGGCGCAGGGTAGCTGACAGAAAACCAGGCAGACTGGAGCTGGCTATCCTGCCTGGCTGGTTTCCATTGAAAGTTTGACAGAATCAACACTTTTCACTGCACATTTGGATTCCATGGAACCAGCATTTTCTAAGGGAAGCCTGTTCTGTAGGAAAACGTTCAACCCGCTTTATATACGAGACACCCCTTTTGTTCAGGCCCGTAGGCATTGCAGTCCCTTGGCATTTAGTCCACTGTCTAGGTGACGTGAGGGCCAGTGGAATATTTTTTTAGTTGAACTGATCTAGCCCATGCAAAGTGCACCCAGATAGGATGGGGGCTGGGCCATCAGAAATGACTGGAGCGATATTTCATTAGTGTTCTTACTGGTCAAACTGAGTGACACGCACAGAGTACACAGGCCTCATCAGGGGGAGCAAGTCACGTAGAAGAGTGAATGTCGTTCCTTTTTACAGTGTGAGGTGGTGGTGTAAGCATGGCTGGGAAACGGGGCTTGGGTGGGGGGTGGTGTTAAATAGGACTTTTCCCCTGAAAATGTCCCTTCAGCAGAGTCCCTTCTGCTATGCATAAAGCAAAACCAAACCAAAGGGACTCCTGGACTGCATGGAACATGTACCTGCAAGGATGACTTTGGTTTTCCCAGTTTGCTCTTTTGGCTGAGATTGGTGGTGTCTATGCTGGTAACTTTCCAGCTCTGGAGGGGACCTTGGGATTCCTGTTGCTACCCTGCTCCCCCGAAACCTTGTTGAGAAGTATGCTTGACCCAAGACAGGGGCCTACATCTCTCTCTTCTGCGCTTTTCTGAACTCTCTGACTCAAACGCTAAACCTGACTACAACACATTTTGCTCGCTCGGTCCAAGCTGTAGCTTAGGGCTAAACACTTTTTTGCCTGGTTGCTTTATAGCATTTTAACGTCTCTGTTCACCAGTTTTCCCCAAATTAATGAAAAGCAGCTATTGCTTGTAGTTTATTTAACTGAGGGGAAATCCTTTGATTTGAACCTTTCTCGGGGGAAATCTCCATTTATTTCAGCACTTCAGTTCTAAAGGAACACAAATAATTTTCCTTTCATAACCTTCCAGACCAACCTTCCCTTCCCCCTAGCTCAGCAGCAGATGCTGAAGCTTTCTTGCCAAATTCTGCTCCTCTCCATGCCAATCGGAATGTACACTCTACTCTGCTCTCACCTGTTCCATTCCCTGGACAGATCAATTTTCACATCAGTCAGGAGACTCTTGACCTACAAACCGCAGCTGTCTCTCATCTCAGAGTCACTAGCGCCATATTTCAGTGAGGATGAGAGCTTGGTCCCCATCTCCTCCCTGACAGATAGTGATGTGACCCACTTTGTACAAGAGCCTACAGGGGTAGGATAAGAGCGAGCCTGTGCCTTTTGCCTCACCTCATGTCAGAGGCCAGGCTCCCAATGCAGTCTGTGGTTTTGGTCTATGTTGGGTGTTTATCTAACTCTTTCCCCTCCCAACAGGGATGTGCCTTTTTCCATTATCTATTTCCCACTGTTTGCCAACATCAACAAACTGGGACAGAGGCACTCTGAGGAGAAGGCACCCTTCTTCCATTCATTCGTGTCTGGCTGCGTGGCGGGATCCGTGGCTGCAGTAGCAGTGACCCCTCTGGATGGTGAGTATCGGGGGGCAGTACAGCCAGTCCTCCAGAGAGGAAGGAGATGGACTTCTTTAAACTCAGGTTGTTCAGCCGCTTTCATACCACAGCCCCACATTTGGCCAATCTCCCCTGGTGGTCTTCAGGTGCAGTCCTTTGTGCGAGTCCTTGTGGTGTCTTAGTGGTGGTGACACAGGAATTGGTGGTGCTGGTGGCAGACCAAAATTACTACAGCAACTGACTGAAGACAGGGAATAGGTTCAGGCTCCAAAACCCCTGCTCTCTTACAACCCTCACCTCTTTGCTGAGGACACTCGTACAACACATGACTCACAAACACTGCTGGTGGTGAACTCTAAGGACATAGATCCTGCTCTTCAGATAACTGCTGCTGAACTCCCTGAAGGCCTGCTATTTCCCACATATGCAAATGTTGGCAACTTCCTGAGGTTTAGGGACCCCACTCACAAGAACGGCAGATGTTGCTCTTGAGGGTCGCATCACTATTCTTTAAACAAAACATCCTTGTCAACATCATCTGATTGTTGTACACATGGTGGCGTTTTCCCCAAGGCTGGCTCCAGTCAGAGAGCTAAGACCCTGGAATCAAACCCTGCTGATTCTCCATTTTCTTGATGAATAACATCCACCTTCTGAGCGCAAGAGAGCCGGTTGAGAGTCCCCTGGAAGAGGTTACATATCCAGACAAAACTAACCCAGTGAGCGCTTTGAGGCCTCTCCTCTTTCCATCACTTCCTGGTTGTTTCCTCTTGCGGTTCTCTCAGATTCACACCCACATGCATCCCCAGGGATCATTCATGTAGCATGTGGCTCAGTGATTAACATTAGCATCTCTCCAGCATGAAAAACCAGGATCTAACAAGAGGGGCGGTAACTCAGATATGTGGTGATATTTTCCAGTTCTATACTGACTCGTTACGACTCTTGTTGTGAACTCTGCCTGGAGAGGATTTTTAAAAAAATGTTTCTTTTCCATTCCATGCAATTTAGTTTTAAAAACCCGAATTCAAACACTCAAGAAAGGCCTGGGAGAGGACACCTACAATGGAATCATTGACTGCGCCAGGTAAGCCAGAATATTCCCTCGCTGCATGTCTGGTGTATTACTGTTCTGTGTCACCCTGTCCAATTGCCATTCCATTTAGCCCTTCCTTACTGTGACAGTGGAGTACCTGAAACGCTCCCCACCCCCACCAACACTCCTGCATAAATCCCTAGAGGGTCTCCTGGTGGGAAGAGTCTAGAATTAGATTGGATTAGAGTTTCCCATGAGCTAGTGCTCCTGCTCGATTCTCTACAGTAGCTCCTACACAGACTGGCTGGTACAAGGGTGAGTTCCCACAACATACCTGACAGTGCCTCATACTGAAACAGCCTGCAGGGAGACTAATAAACCACAATGCGTAAGCCAAGTACTTTAAACAGCTGATCTGATGGGAGATGATCACCTGGTTTATAACTTATTCAGAGGAAATATACAAGGAAAATGCTTAGACCATTTCCTGTGGGTCCAAGGACCTTCCCCTCTGAAGGATTGCTGGGTAATCCATTAAAAACCCTGGCTTTGAGTATGTCTGGTTTTTAATTTAAGAGGATTGCAGGTCTTGGTTTGTAAGTAGCAACTGTCTGAAATGCTGCTTGTCTGGCCATCTAATTTTTTTTTTTTTTTTTTAAATATACAGGAAGATCTGGACACATGAGGGCCCTGCTGCCTTCATGAAGGGGGCAGGCTGTCGGGCCCTGGTTATAGCACCCCTCTTTGGCATAGCCCAGGGTGTCTATTTTATTGGCATTGGTGAATATATCTTGGGATATTTCCACTAGAACTTGTTCTGGCTAAATCAGGCCTGGCTGAAGATCGCACACAAGTTTACTCCCCACTTCTGCAGAACTGGATTTGCCAGAAATGGACAGGACCATGTTGTAATCATTTCTCTTATGGACTGCATGACCACCTTCAGCTTTCTCTGCCCATGAGCAGGGGCCAACACTGGCTGTCAGATATATTATGGCTCAAATTTCCTGCTACTTTCATACATCCACTTGACGTTCTGCATGCTACACCTAGCCCCTGCCCATTTTAAACACAGGGAAGAATGATTTATGTATCCTTACTTGTTTTTCCCAGGATAGTATAACACAACAGTTTGTCCTTTGAATGGCTGGGTGTAAGCAGAGATTCATGGTTTTCTTATAGAGTTGATCTCAAGGATTGTTTGAGGTCAGAGGGTCCTGTATGACTAAAGAGGCCTAGATAGGACTCAGCTCCCTAATGACCAGTTTGCCCATATATGATCTGCAATCTCTTGTCCAGTATCCATCTCGCTTTGTTTTTAAATGCATCACTGTTTGCTTTGCTTGAGTGCAGTGGCTGTTCCATCTAATAGCCAGAGGGGGTTCAAACTCACTTGTTCCAGCAAGCAGTGTCTGAATGTAAACAGATGAGTCACAGCAGTCAGAACACAAAGGTGTAAGTGTGAAACAGTTTTGTTCCTTCTGTGCAGGGTCAGAATGCAGTGGGTGGAGGTGAGGGGAGAAGGCAGCAAAACTAGAAAGACTTAGGTGTACAGTAGTTACAATTACACAGAAATAAAGACTAATACAAACCAAATGTCAATTTTATAGCAAAGCATTAGGGGTTCAAAAACACTATGTGCCAGCTGAAGGCATCTAGCAGCTGGGTGTGTCAAAGCCATTTCTGGACCAGTTCTTGCAAATCTCAAAACTGCGATAAGCACGCTTACAAAAATTGCTGAAGGTTAGCATTCTGGTGCAGGGCCTGCATGGGGGAAACTGTTCTATAATGGGAGCATTTCCTTTGGAAATGGAGGTAGAGGGCAAGATAAAAAGAAAAGACATTGTAACCCTGGGTTAAGTATTTTTCAGGATTCAGCAATGCAGGATTTTCATTGTTTGATGTGCAATTTGTGTAGAGGAGTGAGGCTCAAATCTTTTTTGTACACCCTTTGTAAAGCAAGAAAATAACTTGTAGTTCTGCCTGTGATATGAGGGATAACACTTTATTTTATAACTGTATCCCTGCAGCCTGCTAAGCCGCATATTCATGATGGCATAATATGAAAGCCTTATTACCACTGCATGAATGTATGGAGGGTTGGCTGAGTTTCATTTACAGGACTAAACATAGGGCTAGGAGTCAGGAACTGTGTGTGCCAAGCATAGCAGTGCAGTGACTTACCTTGTGGAACTGGGCAAGTAACCTTGGTATATTTCACTCCACAATCTGTACCCTAGGGATAATACTTAACATCTCAGGCATATTAACAGTTAATGTTTTATAAAGCAGGCCCTGCCAAGTAGATGATGCAGGGAGGATTGCTGTATTACTGTAAATCAAAGCTGCACAATGCTAGCAGCAGGAGAGACTCAGGGTAGTAGCAGCTGCTTTTCTAGCTAGGTTATTTGAGACCAGCCCACCTAAGTGCTGAAGTGTAGCTGCTTAAAGAGTAAAGTTCTTTAAACTCCAACTGTGGAGAGAGGCAGGAGTACATCTGGCAGAAGAGGCTGATGCTTTTACAGCTAGTAAGCCACCCTTAACTCTGTCTCACTCTAATTCTATCCGTCCAATGCCAGAAGGGGAGCTACTGCCTCACATTTAGGAAGGAGGCTGGTCCTAGATTCCCTTAGTCAGAATATTAGCTTAAATGTTAACAGTGCTAATGTACTGACAGAACTTCTCCATCAGTTCAACTTGCAGCTGTGACAATGCTCTGAGACTCAGATTTTTATCTTAAGTGTATCAAAAGCCAATCAAAACCAAATGTTAGTAAATACCACTTGGAACCACTTAAATATACCGCCTGCTCTTCCTGGCCAGAGCAGTTATTCTGTGCACATTACCTCTCTACTTCTTCTGGGAAAGAAAGTTCACACGCTCTAGTCTAATGAGCTCATTTGTTTACGCCGTCCAAGCTCTATTTATAGAACGTGGAGGCCTCCGCAAACCAGAGAATCCAGCTGATTGAGTAGCATTATGAGTCAATATTTTAGCTTACTCGCTAAATGGTGTATTATGATCCAGTACTATGTTCATATGTATTTTAATATTTCTACTACCTATTAAACTACTACAAAAAGCTAGTTCTGCAGAACAAAGTATTTGCTGCTTATTGCTAATTTGATAACTGCACTGATTACAGGAGCACTGTATTAAAGGTACTTTTAATTACTTCTGGGAGAATTCTGCACCCCTGTGCAGTGCAGAATTTCCTCTCCCCTCCCCCCCCCCGAAATGGGCTGCAGAGATGTTAGTCACCACTAGGGGCCACTGCACTCAGCAGAGCCCAGCTCGCAAACAGAAAATAAGGCTGGGGAGAGGGAACTGAAGGGTTCCCAACAGTTGCAGTTCCCAGCATGCCCTGAAGGAAGGAGGTGGCATGCAGGAAACTCTGTGCAAGCCCAGCATCAGGCTGTTTCTCCCTCTGGATACCTGGGCTCCAGGAAGGTAGGGGGTGAGTGTGTCTGGGCTGGGGGGGGCAGCAGCTGGGCTCTGGGGTGTATGTGAGAGAGTGTCTGGGCTGGGCGGAGGGGGGGGTAGGCCTGCATCTGGCCCCTAGGAGGTAGGGGTAAGTGGGTTGGGGGGAGGCCTTCAGCTGAGCTCCGTGAGGTAGGGGGTGTATTAACACTCTACTCCTGAGGGGGTGGGGAGGGGGTGTGTCACAGACATACTTGCTGACAAGTATTTTGAAATAAGTCACCAAAATAATTTAAACTGGTGTGATTATATAGTGTTATTTTGACAAATTTTGCTGAGTTTAATTTTTTGGTGCAGAATTCCCCCAGGAGTATTTTAATATCTTTCTCCTATAAAACTCTCTACACAGCAATCAGGTCACACAGAGTTCAACTCAAGTGTGCTAAATATAGTTAGCAAGTACCTACAGACAGAAGATCCTGTTAGAGCTGGTGATGTGATGTACTTAGCTGTTGACCTAGACATCCCTACCCAACCTCTTCTAGTTACTCCTGAGTCACAGCATGCTGGTCAAAGACTACAGTGCACTTCGTGTACACACATCTTTTTATTTTTAATAAATTAAGTAGTACAGGCTCAGACTTTACGCACATATACAGAACAGAAAACTCTGGGCCTGACCAAGTAACAAGCTACACTTCTCACCCAGGGAAGGGTTGCATGCCCTCTGTATAACAGAACACTGAGAAGCCCTTAACTGGAAAAGTTGCTCCCATGGGCAGCATCGTACTTCACAATCACTAATTTTACTATAGCCCCGGGAGTGCAGGACAAGCCAAGAGCCCAACTGCATCCATTCTCCAGTGTCACTTCTGGACGGGTTGGTCTTCACCTCATTTTGATTAATACATTGTAACCACTTGATAAGTCAGGCAAAGCGCAGCAGTTATGCAAAATTATTCCACTGAAGAACACACATTGGACAACACATTATAGCATTGAAAAGGTACTTTTTTTTTTTAGGGTTTAAATGACCAGATGCTTTTTTGCATCTCTCCTCAATATGGCAGTGGAACAGATTCCACTTTCCCTCAGGCTTAGTCCAAAAACTTCCTGTTGGCATTGGCACCAAAGAGTGCCCCTCGGATTTCTGGCATCATCTGTTGAGAGAGTGGGTGCACCAGTTAAGAGGCTTTGTATAGAACAGCACAGTAATAAATACTAAAATAGTTAAGCACTAACAGCAACTTAATATGCACAAAAGTTAAGAAATCCTAAGCTGCAGTTCCATGCTGGAGCCATGAATGAATAGAGGACTTCTGTCAGTGCAGCCAACTCTTTAGGGGATTTACAAGTTCACCTGCTAGATACTGGTGGTGGTTTCTCACTGTGAGCAGACTGCAATCACTAACACTGTTGCAGCTTGAGCCAGAGGGATCACCTGTTAAGCTCAGGCATGTGATCACCCCACCTAGATCAAATCCATGATCTGCATTAGTTATGGACACAGAATTGTTTCTAGAATAGTTGCCCTAAATCTCTCCCAAGGACAGAATTTAGTCTTTTGAATATGGAGGTCTATATTGCCAAAACCAAGATTAATTGGAGGCATGGTGGGGTTGCAAGGTCTTCCTTCTACACTGGACTTGAGAAGAATCTCACATTGTCTAGTGGAATGGTTCTCTATTAGCCCATGTACTGCCACTAGCAGTGGAGCTTTATGAACACCATCTATTTTTGTACTATTCAGTAACAGGATCTTTCAATGCAGTTTGGTTCTTTAGAGACTTAGTCTTTCAATAATCTAGCTTCTCAAGAACCTAGCTGAGCATAAAACTCTGAAGAGAGGATTTCTTACTGTGGTAGAGATGTGCTCCTCCCCAACCTCCATACAACCAGCTGGATAGCTTAATTTTCAAGTCTACTTTTTTCAACCGTTTGCTTGTCATCCATCTAAAGAGACCTGATCCCATAAGAAGTTATTTTGAAGATTAAGAGGATGATTGAGACTAAGGGATGCTGACTTCAAGATGAAGCTTTCCACCTTACCAATCAAGATGAACATGGCATGAAAGGAGAAAGCCTAGCAGATTGAGTACGGAGGGCTCCAACTCCCTCTTTCCCAAACTCACCTGCTGGGCTATGAGATCCAGCCGGCTTTCCAGGGTATTGGAAACCTTGATTTTACCATCACTGTTATAGATCTCAACACCTCCAGCACTAGAGAGAAAACAGACATTACAATAGACCTCAACTTGACAAAAAGCCACTCTCCCATGTGTGTCAAAGGGATGAATCAACAGAAGTGTGTGGCCTCCTTTCTGCCTTTAAATGGACTCCAATCTTACTCCCATTACACTGGAAGCTAAAATAACCTGATGAAGAGAATGAGACAGCCCGAACAATGGTGTTTGCAGAGCATCCTAATGGGTAAGGGTCATCACTACCTAGTGTTTTAAGGATAGATTGGACCTAGGGAAATTTTAGGTATGAAAAATGATTACTTCAGTCAATCAGCTGAGCCTTCTCTCCACCACCCAATAAATATAAATTAGGCTACGAGGGTTAATTTTCAGATTTTGGGAAAAGAGGCAATGTACTATACAGATACCTTTAGAAGTGTTATTTCTTGTACCATTCATAGCTCTATGTAACAAGTTCATTAGATCTTAACTTGAGTGCATCATTCAAGTGTTCTTTTCTCTGTTACAGAACCAATTTTCTGGCAGTTTTGGAGGACAAAGCCTATCAGCTGGACACCTATAAACCACACATTCCCCCTCACAGCTTTGTTCTTTGCTTTATGTTGAACCTTAAACTTGGGCTTCACTTGCATTCCTTTCATCTCTAACAGACTGAGAAGTTATACTGAGTTACTAACTGCTCTTGCCTAGACCAGCGGTTCTCAAAGCCGGTCCGCCGCTTGTTCAGGGAAAGCCCCTGGTGGGCCAGGCCGGTTTATTTACCTGCCGCGTCCGCAGGTTCGGCTGATCACGGCTCCCACTGGCCGCGATTCGCCGCGGGAAGGGCGGCCAGCACATCCCTTGGCCTGTGCCGCTTCCTGCAGCCCCCATTGGCCTGGAGCAGCGAACCGTGGCCAGTCGGAGACGCCATCGGCCGAA